CTATATTTTTCACTCGACTTTTCCAATCTCTCCATTTCTTCCCAAATGAAGTCATTATTGTTCTCTTCATGGAATCATTTGCATTCGTATGAGCCTGCATTACAATTATACACAATTGTAATATGCAATGTCAACTACACTTGTAATATGTATTTCATATGAAATCCAAGTCGTAAAAGTGAGTTGTAATATGCAATGTCAACTACACTTGTAATATGTATTTCATATGAAATCCAAGTCGTAAAAGTGAGTTGTAATATGCAATGTCAACTACACTTGTAATATGTATTTCATATGAAATCCAAGTCGTAAAAGTGAGTTGTAATATGCAATGTCAACTACACTTGTAATATGTATTTCATATGAAATCCAAGTCGTAAAAGTGAGTTGTAATATGCAATGTCAACTACACTTGTAATATGTATTTCATATGAAATCCAAGTCGTAAAAGTGAGTTGTAATATGCAATGTCAACTACACTTGTAATATGTATTTCATATGAAATCCAAGTCGTAAAAGTGAGTTGTAATATGCAATGTCAACTACACTTGTAATATGTATTTCATATGAAATCCAAGTCGTAAAAGTGAGTTGTAATATGCAATGTCAACTACACTTGTAATATGCATTTCATATGGAGTCCAATTGTAATATGCATTTCAACTTATTTCATATTAAATATCGGTATTACCTTTATCTCCGTCCATATGTTATCTTTATTTTGTTGTGGGACATAATGCCAAGTTGTAAAAGTGAGTGGTGCAAGACTCCTATCTCGTGCCAAAACGCCCAAATGTGAAGCAAGAGGTGTGTATCCTTCAACTACTTGATTCAACTCATTTGAAACAAGTTTTAAAACGCCATCGTCACTAATACCCCATTGACCATGCACATATGTGGGACCTCTTGTCTGCTTTTGTGTGACTTGACTTGAGCTAAGACCTTTAAAAAAACAAAAACAGAGCCAAAGAATTGATTATGGGTTCTAAACACATTTGGGAAAGCAAGGCTTTTGAAAGTACTTTATATAAAATTGCACCTGAACATATATAAATAAATAAATAAAAAGTCAAAAGCTTATACATACCAGCTGAAATTGAGCCATGTAATGTACTACCACTATGTGATGTGGTAGGAAGACTGCTTGGTGGATGCCATGATGCCAGTGGATTGGGTATGACTCTCATCTTCTTAAGTATGGCATGAGTCTTATCTGAACTAGAACTATTAGAGCTTGATTGCTTACTCTCACTAGAAGAACTCTTGGAGCTAGAACTCATAGATAATCTATAAAGAAACTACAAACATAAGAATGAGGACTATGAATAGAGTTTACCTTCTTAAATGACTACAATCCATTCAATGCAAGATGATAAATCTATACATTTAAATATAATGCAAAATATAAAATGACAATTCAAAACAGAATCAGAGTAGGTTATTCGAAATACCTTCCTACTTGAGAATGTACATGCTCCAACTATAGAGGAGAAAGATCAATAGTCATAAACTTTTGATGATTTTACTTTCACCAAAATTCTCCAATAATCATTATTAAGAATTTAAGCTTGCTAGTGAAAAATATCAGACATTATAGTCATTTAAGTCAAGAATGAAAAAAATAAGACTTATTATTAAGAATTTAAGCTTGCTACTTGAGAACTGTATGCCTCTGAAAAGAACAATTTGAAAAGAACAGCAATGAAATTAAATTACCTCCTCACTGAGTTCTTCGACATCTTTAAAAAAAAAACAAAGAAACAAATAAATAAATCTGATCCAAACAAGACTTATTCAGCAGCAAATTATGCATTCATGAAACTAAGGTCCATTTGGGGTTAAACTTGTTTAAAAGATGCTTACCTGGAGGTGATAATGAAATAAGCTGTGACTATTGATCAAGGTTGTTTAAATTTTCTGAAATAGTAAAATGCTGGGAATTGTCACTTTTACTTGGCAGCGATTTTGAAAATTGTTATATTTAATAAATAAGCTAAGAAACACCTCCATAATCAGGATATCTACTTAATTTTAAGCCACTCCTATCATTACCAAACAACTTGTTTGGTGCTTCTTAAAAATAAGAAAAAGCACCATCAAATAATCAAAACCCGAACAGGTTTAGCATCTATTTGGAACCTGGATGCCATACAATTTTACAGTTATTTCAAACAACAGGAAGCAGGAAACGGGATCTCAAGCCCACAGTTACATTCCAGGTACTTCACAAGAACAGAAACAAAAAGGTGCCTAGTTTGTGCAACAAAAATAACAATAACAACAATAATGTACATACACCAATTATTGACAGAACATGGTGAGAGAAGCATAAATCTTAGACATTATTTCAAATTGGAGTAGCAATTCTTACTGAGATTAGTGCATGTTCTGAGAAAATCAGGACGAAGAGTGGAAGGAAATCTGAAGACCGTTCCCGCCAATTCCAGCAATCAAACATTGGAATCCACAGGTCTCAAGCTCCGCAATTACTTTATCAACAATTGTTCCTGATAACACTGATGCATGTAGTCAAAGGAAACATTTACAAAACTAATATTGTTAAATATATGTATTCATAAATTGAGTTCAATGGATTTGCTTGCTCACATTTTTTTCTTTTACCATGACAACTCAAATGCATGTATAGACTAATGAGAGAGCATAACTTTATTAAAATGGACGCTTGAAATAAGGATTCTGTCACTGAACCCAAATCCTCTTCTAATGGCACTTCAAAATTAATCATATTTAGAATCCCATTAAGCTCCCAGATTTTTGCTAGTCATTAAGAATCTTTCTACGATAATTTGTTAATCTAATTGAACCAATGCCTTTATTTTTGGATGAGAAGCAAACTAAATCAGTAGTTTAGAAAAAGTAACAGGGAAAAAAAAATAATCTAGAGCACCATTCCACGTATCATCGATGTTATGATCCTATTTCTCAAAACCTAAACAAAGACAGTCAAGGGAATAATTTGTTTGAAATATGTATGAAATATTATCTATGTTCTAATGCAGTGACACACCTTCTAAAAGTGACAACGAATGTGACATGCATACAGATGCAACAAAGTTACAAACACAGTCAAGAACAGAAACCTTGCCGCCACAGGCTGACATTACATAAGAGTCATTCTTTGAGAGTGCTATGTAAGGCACTGCTTCCTCAAGGTTGACACCTGTGACATCATTAGTCATAACAAGACCACTGTTTGGTTGCCATTGCTGTGGAACAACATTGGCAGTGGCCTTTAGACCCTCACTGAGTTCAGAATTCTCCTCCACAAATATCGACTAATAAAAGAAAAGAAACAGGAAAACATGCAAATGAAATTACTCCCAACTTGCTATTACCTTTCCACCTGGATTTTGTTCACTGCGTGTCCACTTCCATAACTTCTGAATCCCATTAGACCCAAGTGCCAAAACATCAAAACCGGAATTTGTATAGAGTAGTCGAGCAACCTAGATGTAGATGTGTCAGTCGAGCATAATCCAATAGATAGATTCTGCAGCAACAAATGAGTAGAAACACACCTTGTTGACTGCATCCATGCTGTCTGGCATGGTAACCTGCCGGCATTGAGCAGGATCTATAATTTCGGCCAACTGCCAGGGTTTGGTTTTATCAGTTACATCATCCAAAGTTTTTGGCTTTTCCATGTTTCTAGCCATAGGATCAACTCCATTCTAGAGGGGAAACCAAAATGTATAATCAGTCCAAAAGAAACAAATGTGACATTGTACATAAAAAATAAAAGAATAAAAAGTTGCTTGGCAGTCTTAGAATCACTCTATTTTGGTCATTCTCTGTGTTCCATTCAAAATGGAACATGCTCATCGTGTGACAAAAGTCAACAGTATTCATGGGCAGGCACCTCTTAAACATGCACTGGTGTACTAGGAAAACTTAAGCATTGAAGGACCTTAATTGCAGCAGATTCAATAGGTGATCTTAATGCTTCAAAGGACGGGGCTTCAACTACTCTTACAGATCTACGACCAGTAGTGGTAGCGAGTATCTTTATTCCATTGTCTGCTGTAGTAACAGCGAGAAGATTTCCTTCCTTGTTGAATCTCAAGCGAGGAAGACTCTTTTAAGGCAAAAAAATGTCATAAAGTAAGAGTTGAATTCAAACAAGCTGGGTGTTTCCCAAAACAACTATAAAGATTACACTGACCGGAAGTCCACCCTCTGCATCCATACTAGTGAGAATGTCGTTATTGTCCATGTTCCAAAACTTTATTTGGTGATCTTCACCCACGGCCAAAAAGTGGTTTTGAGTTGTGTCAAACTGCTCAACACCAACAGATTTCTTTCTGAACCCAGAGTATGTCCTCTTTATTGCTCCTTCACTTTCATTCCATTCAACAAGGAAAGAATCCCCATCTTTACCCGTTCCACAAGAGAACAATCTGAGAGAAAGGATAAGGAATGAAGAGAAGAGGCTGAATGATTAACAGGATTTGACCAGCTATATTTCATCAAGGGATTCAAAAACACAAAAAGAGCAGGGGTACAAGAAAATTATCAAGGAACCAACCTACATCATGTTTGATATCTTTAATTTCAATAACCTTACCTACTTCCATCGGCACTGTAAAGCATAGTAGTACATGAGTGTCCAGGAGCATCGTAGTCAACTCTAGATCCACTAAAAAACTAAACTTCCACAAAACAAAAGTCTATCTCTAACAGCAATAACGGCCTATAGTTCCCATTAATTAAGAGGTAAAATGGTGGTTGAAAATAGTACCTATCTTATCAATATCTTACAATTCGTGATTTGATTCACGATTCAATTCATGATTCATGCATAGATCGATGTGAATCTATTTTGGGACAGAATCGATGGTGAATCGCATGATTCACAATTCGATTCATGTTAAACAATTCAAAATGAGTTTCAAGGGGATGGTTTCCAAGATTTTCTTCTCAATGTCTCCCCCAAGCTTAGCAGTCATATCAGATGCAATGAACCCTGGGGCAACAGCATTAACCTGTTGAACCAAAAAAACAAAAAAACTTCAATAAAATTGGTTTCTATTTACTACTCACCTACTCACTAGAATTTAGTGGACTACTTTGGGAGGACTAGAATTTAGAATAATGAGAATCATAAAAGCAAAAAAATGCATGTGAAAGGTCAAAAAAAATCTAATAAAATACCCATACCTTTTAAACATTCCACCTTTGGCTGCCTTTGGATACTTGAAAGGGCAGCTTTGAAGTTCTTTAGTGATAGGAACCCAGAATCCAAATTCATATGACTAATAGCAGAGAACCTAGTGTCAGGGACCACAAATACTCATAAATAAGGTTTAGGATGAAATTAATTACAGCAGTACACCTTCAAACTAGAATTCTATGCTTCCAGGACAGAAAAACTTACAGAATATGTGGAATCAGAATTTGATAATGTACCAATAATTCGTTTGAATCTCTCCTCGGCCAATACATTCTGATAGATGTCAAGGAGTTCTTACCGCATGCCCCACAGCATTAAGATTCAGGAACAATAGATATTATCATCAAAGCTCTAAAAGCTGCCCTGGGAATACATAAACAAATAATTTCTCCAGTGATAGCAAATGCACTCAGCGTGCAAATTATTAAGCCTAAGCTTGTGGTGCATGGAAAACTAGTTAGTTCTTGACTGGACTTCAGCCACTCAAACTGTAAGGGCATAAAAAGGCCCATTACAAACTGAGGTAAGGTTTAGATGAAGGATACTGGATATATGTGAAGACAAATGTGTCAGTAGATTTTAAACTTTGATTTTAGTAGATTTTAAATTTATATGCTGCTAGAGCCGCCTTTTTATTGTCTGTGCTTTCTCTTCAATTTTTTCACTGCATACATAATATGATGGAATATTCATTTTCAATTGGGATGAAGTGGATTTTGAGTTAGTTCTGGTTTTATATATGTTAAATCACATACTTGATTCATTGGAATATTTTCATCCAACTAGAAGTAACCTAGTTCTTCCAACTACTCTACATGAATTGGTTATTATCCTTGGTGTTTATTTGAATGTCTATATTAATGATAGTCCTCCTGTAACAAAAATTAATTTTTTAGAGACCATCTAACTTTGAACATTAAAAACCATCAAGTAGTCAGAGTAGATTCAATATGTTGCACAATGTGCACGCAAAGTCTCTTTTGAAATAGATATTAATTTAATGAAGGTATTGGGGAAAGTTACACCTTGTTCCTATAACTGATCATCGCTGTTTTTCTATTATATATGTTGCATTGCATTGATAAACACAAATTTTCATCTGAATCCATGAAAATGTGTGGTCACAACTACAATATTTTATTATAAAATGAAATACTCATAATACATAATCAGTAATAACCATAATGATAACTTAATACCTGTGATTCATTGACCTTTATTATAAATACAAACCAAAAGCAATGTTTGAACTTTGCCAGAACATACTTTTTACGGCCCGCTGAAATTCATAATGCGTTGTCAATGATAAACATGAGGATAATAAGTGTAATTTATGGTTGATACCTGTTAATCAGTTGACCGTGATGTCAATCTACACTAAAATTAAGAGGCAACAATCTTGGATGGACCATTGATGAACATCATTACATAACTTCCCATGAAATGAGCGTGTTTTGCATCATTAATAACTATTTCCTCTTCTTTCTTTTTTTTTCCCCCTCATAAAACATCTACTAGAAGAGGCACATCCATTGAATCTTATAATATATTGGTGCTAGTTAGCTTCATTCAAAAGTCATCCTAGAAGAGGCCCATCCATTGAATCACCTCAACTGAAAAATTGAGGGCAACACGTGTAAATAGCAGTTATAAAGAGCATCCTCTCAATACCTCATTAACATTAGATATTGTTGAGCTCATTTTAAAAACACTATCAATTGAGGGCAACACAAGTAAATAGCAGTTATAAAGAGCATCCTCTCAATACCTCATTAACATTAGATATTGTTGAGCTCATTTAAAAAACACTCTATCTCTTCTGAATGAATGAATAGCTCATTGGATCTCTAGAATTTATGGAAAAATACATATTACCTGAAGAAAAATGAAATTTCTCACACACATTCATAAGCTATATCATGCAAGTATATGCCAAGCATATATAGGACTCTAAACTTAGATCTCTCTATCTAAATAACAACAGATTGAAGAAAGGAAATTGACCTCAGAATTGCCATATGCATGAAGTTCAACCAGAGGAGAGAGAATCACATAAAATTTCACCTTTTGAAAACAGGATTAGCAGCAATTTGTAAACAATGCAAAACCAAGACAATACCCATATCAAGAAGAGTGAGAATGGGTAAAATACACAACATGATTAGAGAGCATAAAGTAGTTTGAGGAAAATAATATGTACTTTTCAACTGCTAAAAGTACTTCCTTCTTCTCAATCTTTCCACCAACACCAGTAGCCAGATCTAATGCTCCAGACTTGGCCATCTTCTAACCAAATAAAAAACAGAAAATGTAACAAAGAAAAAAAAATTTAAAATCACAAATAGAAGTGAACCCATTTGAACAATTAATTATAAATTGATAAAAAAAAAAATGTAGTAATAATTTGATTTGATTCCCACAATTAGTAAAAAAGAATCAGATTATTTGCCAGCAAATGCTGAGTGTTTACAAAGGAGTTGACTTGAGAGAGATTTTGAAATCCAGGACTTGAATGGACATCCAAAATATAAACAGCTGGCATAATAAATAGTACTAAATGTAAATAGCACTAAATCCAAGTCAAAGCACTAAAATCCAATAAGAATTAAAACCCAACAAGTCTGTCTCCATTTCAGATTTGAAGCCTCAAAACCATACTGTTTGGCGGGACAAATTAGATTCTGGTAAAAAATCTGTACATAAAAAATTGGCTTGTGAATCAATTTCACTTTCCCTATACAAAACCAACCAGATCAAATAGACCAAATAACTTATTCATCATATCATTGGCAAAACTGAGAACCATGAATCAACTTCGCTTAAATGCTTTTTCATTTTCTCAGTAACAAATCAGAGAATTAAGATTTTTATTTTTATTTTTGATTTTTGTTTTTTGAACAAGAGAGTATTAAGTTAAGTCTGATGTTTAAATCACATTAAAAAGCCCATAATTGTTCTTGAAGGAATTGAACGTGTACAATACATTGATCTAATCTTTTTGTTCTTACTTAGCTCCAGAGCAGCCACTATGGCCCCAAATGTAACAGAACAACTAAAAAAAAAATTAATTGATAGTTTTGAAACACTCAAATGCAATGTATGCATCCCCAAGAACGAACCTGCTTACCCAAACACAAAAAAATCAACTTGTAAACAAGTCCAAAATTTCAGGAAAGGCCAAATTGAGACAGAAAAAAGGGAAGTGTATGTATAATTAACATGATTTACAAAAATTGGGAACTGTATGTATAATTAACATGATTTACAAAAATTGGAAGCCCTAAAACATGTATAGATTCTTGGGTGGAATTGTGGAGTCAATTCTTTGAGGCAATTTATCGAACATGTAGAGGACATTAGAGAAAACCCTCTACACATTGAAAAACCTATCATCAAGCAATCTACAAAAGCAAATACAAACAAAAACAGATTAAAATTGAAATGTTAATGGGTTACCTGGAAGAGGGTTCGACGTGCCTGACGAGACCAGGAAGTTTGGGGAGCAAGACAGAAACAGGGGATTTGAGAGCAGAGGAAGGAGAAGAGAGGTTTTCGTCTTTGTAGAGGTAGCAAATGACATCGACCATGCAAACTTTTCCGACACAGCGACACTCCTCGGCGGCGGATTCGGAGTGGTCACAGGTCCATACGCTGAGGCAGGTGTCGGAGGAGGATTTGAGGGCGGACAAGGCATCGGCCACGGTGGCGGAGATTGAGAGAGATCTGAGAGGCGGCTTGCCTAGGCAGATGTCAGCTACCTCGTATGCTAGCAAGCGAACTGCCATACAAAACTGAATATGGGGGTTTTTTGAGAGAGAGAAAGAGAAGATGTGGAGGAGGATTCTTAGGTAGATAGAAAGAGAGAAAGAAAGGCTGAGACTTGGCAGTGAGGCTTGGTAGAGAGAGTGGGCACCGATTGAGAGAAAGAAAATTCAAATCCCGCCCCACTGAAAATCAAATTTCCCTCTCAACCTTTTGGCGACCAAAAGACCATATTAGTCGCAGAAAATGTACCTTCGCCGACAAAATTTTTTAGTCGCCAAATCTCAATCAACGGCGATTGAAATATTAGTCGCTAAAAGTACTAATTTGGCGACTAATTTTTTTTTGTTGCTGAAAAAAAGTTTTTTGCGACCAAATTTTTGGTCGCCAAAAACTATGTGACCTTCCGCGACCAAATTTATAGTTGGTCGGCAAAAGTATACCACTTTCTGCGACCAACTCATTTTTTGGTCGCCAAAATATAACCTTCTGCGACCAATAATATTTGGTCGCCAAAAATAATGATCATTCGCGACTAATTAATATTTGGTCGCCAAATGTCATTTTTTTGCGACAAAAATTTTTTTGGTCGGCAAAAGTGGTCGCCAATTGTGTAAATTCTTGTAGTGAACAAAGGATTCCCAAACGATCCCTTAAACTTACTGAACCCATATGATAGTAATTAGTAACTGCTGTGGCATTTATCTGTATTGACAATTACTATTTGATACCAAATATCGAAAATAATTTGTGAAATTCGCTTATAAAGTTACTGATAAATTTGACATATAATCAGGGGAAAAAATCTAATTTGGATTAACAAATAACCGCGATATTGAAATAAAAAATATGAAACTTCATTAGAAAATAGGGCTCACATATAATTTGTCCTTAATAACAAAAACATTATCAATACTGTTCATATTACTAAAGTCATCATCACGTGGTGGCTCTTACCTTAGTTTCATTCCTCATATTTCAAAATAATAATAATAATAATAATAATAATGCTTATGAAATAGATTTAACAACTGCATGGAGTCAATAAACTGGAAAAATATGCTTAGGGCAATCCCGAGCGAAGTGTCCTTCTTTGTTACAGTTAAAGCATATCAATTTAGCCTTTGCTTTCTTACCACCTCTCGTGCCCCTACGCTTGAAATTTCTAGCGCCATTGGGCTTAAGTGCAGCTGCTGCTTGCTCCTTAGGGGCACCTTTTGCTTTTTCACGTTTGAACTGAGAAGTCCTACGTGAGCTTGACTCAACCACCATAGCAGAATCATCAGACTTAGCCGCCTCAAGGCGCTCAGCCTCTAGCTCCAAATGACGCGATATGTCTTCGAATGTTTTCACACTCTCATTATGCATCATGTTCTGCTTCATCTGCTCCCAAGAATTTGGCAGAGAGCGAATCACAACTTGTACTTGCTGCTCTTGAGTCAAATTGTGCCCAGCAGTCGCAAGCTTACGTATCATGGCTGACATGACCCTCAAATGCTGCTTCATCGAGTGATGCACCTTTTTTCTGATATGAGTCAAACTTCATAGTTAGCCCACGTAGCTTTGCCAAAGAGGTAATACCAAACTTTTTCTTGAGAGCTTCCCACATCTCAAATGCAGTCGGGCAATGCTCAAACTCACTAATCAAGTCGTTGTGCATGCTGCTCAACATAGTAAAGCACGCATACCGATCTTTGTTACGCCAAGTCTGAAGTGTGGCTGGAGGCTTTTCCTCTCTCCCCTATACATGTATAAATTGAGACCCTCCTGTCAAGTCTAAAACACACAGAGATTTCCCATATTCTGACTCTCCCAAAAACAACAATCAAAGCCGTTTGCACTGTGATTCGTGTGGGTGATATTCACTGTTGTAATATCACCCCACTGCTGGGTTGATTGATCAGATTCAAGAAGCACGTGATTTACCCACGAGATCTTTTCTATTCAGACTCTACGAGAAATGTATGATCATAATTTTTATTCCGCTGCGTTATACTGCTAATTAACATTAGTATCAGAGCCATTTTGGCGCAGAAAGAAGTGCTCCTGGAGCACATCCCTACGAGTCGTATGGTTGC